TTTGTTTTTGGTGTATTTTGTTTTGTTTTTAGTGCATTTTGTTTTGTTTTTCGTGTATTTTGTTTGGAAGTCGGTTTTGTTTTTTTTTAATTAAATGCAAATTGATATGAAATCGATAGTCACTTGTTTTTTTTTTCGTATTTGTTTTTTACTTTTTTTATATAATAAATGGGGGCAAACGAGCGTCGAGAACACCGAGGTGGTCAGCGACGCCCATGGACATCCGCAACACCAAAGGAACTACAGATGCGTCGCCGACCTTTGAAGAAATGATAGGCACATTTAAGTTGCATTTAATTATTGATTAATTACACATTTTCACTTCTTTATTTATGCTTTTTATGTTATATTTTTTTTAATCTTAATTATTCTTAATTAATTTTTGTTTCAGGTGTGTCCGTACTCTAGCTTGGAGCTAAATGTACAATCCAGAAAATCCGCGGTGTTACACTAATAGACATAATCCTTGTTTATTGCAACAAGCATCCTATTAATTATTATCCCACATTCTCGTCTCAATTTTTACAAAACTATCAAACTCTAGCATATACGATATACGAAACAGATTCCCTCAGTGTACAGTCGTGTTGGTTTTTTATCCTGAAACTGTATAAAGGAGGTTATTTTCTAATACAATATCCAATAATAGCGTCGTTATTGGCGCTGCGATAACAATTTGTTAGTGTCTCTTGCAACAATGTAGTCGTAATTTTTCACTTAGTTCACTGTTTTTTAGGAGAGACAGTTTTTAACTTATTTTTATAGTATTAACAAATAGAAATGGTTTTAAGAGGATATTAAAATTTACTGTTATGTTTTTCATAGATAAATATTATTTTGGTAAAGGGTTTCCGCTTCGCTAACAATCTGACAGATATCATAATCTTTACGAACATTGAAGTTTAAGCGTGGACTTATAACTTAAGATGCTCTTATAATTAACTAGCTGTTGCCCCCGACTTTGTCTGCCTAAAAAAAATAGACTATATTACTCACGGATAAATTACCTTTCTAATTGTAAAATAATTTTACAAATCGATCCAGTAGTTTTTGAGTTATTTCAATACAAACAAAAATACAAATCTTTTCTCTTTATAACTTTAGTACAGATATGATTTTACTATTCGGCTGTGTTATTATATGTACTAGCTAGTTCTGCTCCATTTATTTTGCTCCAACAGTAAGTGATTTTAAAGGTTTTTGAACAAAAAATGTAATAAAACAGCTACCAGATATTCTAAACCGAAGCGCATAAGCCAGACACCGCATCGTCAAAAAGCATATATTTTATTCCAACTGCGGCCATCTGGTTACATTCTCTGTCGATATTAGTTTAGTCGAGAATAAAAAAATACA